AGAGAAAAAAAAAAATAGGTCTATAAAGATTTTATGAATGGCAAGTAAAAAAATTGAATTTTCAGGATTTGTACTGTATTCCATTTGTAAGTTTTTCTAAACAAACACAAAATATAGACTTATTTTCTTCCTAGTGTGTCCTTCTAACATGGTCTTCTGTGCCCATTGCATCCCAGTTTATATCTGGTCACCTCCCAGATTGACTGACTCTGATCCCCCGTGACCCCCCGCCATGTATCATCCCAGATTCTCTGTTCTATTTCTCACCATTAATTGGCTGGAAGAAAGAACACTAGAAGTTGTAAAAAGAGACAACAAAAGGGTAAATGAAACAAATGAAAGCTAGTTACAGGTAACATCATGGAATTCTTTATGTAACATCTTGGGATTCTTTATCTTTGCAAAAAACTTAATCATAGGAAATGTTTTCCTATGAAATTCCATAGATTCTCAGTTTCTGTTAAGGACTTAACAAACCTATTTGACTCTATCCGTTTTCTCTCCCTTCCTTCCTTCTTTACTTCCTTTCTTCCTCCCAAAACTTAGATATGGCTCCATGTAAGTTAAAGAAATTTCAATTAAAAGAGAAATTTTGATAAAAGATAGCAATTTATCTTTGGGTGAAATCTTTGCTAGACTTCTAAAATAATCTCTCTAAGAAAAGAACCACTGAAAGAAATGCAAAATAAATTCAATTGGAGTGAATATCCTTAAGTAATTCAGGCGTCAAAGGCTCATTCGAATTGCCTTGTGATCTCCCCCAAAGAAGACCTGAGGTAAAGCTTGTAGACATGGAGTTTACATAGAATATGCTCCCAGAGAGCAGAAGTGAGGGGTGGTTGGAGTGGAACCAGGAAAGAGAAAATATCAATATAAGAGTTGTTATCGAGTTGATCACCTGCAGGTGCTTGATTTCACCATGACTTTCTGAGCATATTTGTGGAATTTATCTCAGAACTGTCAATATAAGGATGAGAGAATAAAACCCTTTCTCTCAGTTTTCAAGGACTTTGTAACACTTCTATTTTTCAAGGATTGCCCCACAGGGTTTTCACTAATTTGCATTTGTGGGTTGTCCATTTATGAGTGACAGTTTTTCATGTGGGTCTCTTGTGCCATCTGGTTAGAAAAGATACTAAAAAAGAAGGTAGAGAGGTGTTGGAAGTCCCTGAGATGAGACACTTTTTGGGTCATCCCAGGCAAAGGTGATGGCAGCCCACATAGAGCTCATCACCACAGCTATCACTGAGCCCAAGGCCTAGAGAACTTGCAGGAGGGACACAAGAGGTATCAGACCCAGAGTTCTTCAAAACTGCCATAGTTTTAACACATGAGTTCCATACTGGTAGGTACATGTGAGTGAGTGTTGTTTTATATTTAATATGTATTTCGTTTGCCTTCCTTTTACTACTTGCCATTATAGGATGAAAGAGTTATAAATAGCCACATATTCTTAAATGCTCCATAATTTTAAAATGTATTTGAACATAGAAAATGTGCTCTTTGAGAGCAGGAATAGTGATTTACTCATTTCATTACCGTGTTCACAGTAGAAGAACAGGCAATAAAAGGAACTCAATAAACATTCAGTAATGGTGCACATGGAAAAGTTCTTCGAAGGCAATAGAAGCTAAAGCAATCCAGGTCACTTGTTCCTTTCAATATCATATGGGTTTGATTGAGTGATCCCTCCTCTGTTCATTATCTACTTACCTTTTTCTTCTAATGAATGAGAGGGCAGAAAGGAGTAATGGGTACTGGAATGGGTGGGGTATTGTTAAGAGTGGGAGAAAATTAAATATTTTCCCAAAATATACCTGATATTTTGTAAATCATGTATCCTGGCCCTGATATGTGGTATTAACTCATGTTCAGGCTTTGTTTTCTTGTCTCATTATCTCCAAAGTCCGTCCGTGACCTCTCAGTCACCAGTTATTTTAATTTCCATGCTGTTCAACTCCTATTTTAAATTATAACATAAAATAATTGCTCCCTTCTGAGGTAGTGTGAGCAGAGTTAGAAGTTATGGGGTAATTTCTAGAGCCTGCTGTAGGCCATCCTGAATTTATTATTATACTAGCTTGAGCTTCTGAAAAAAAAAATGGGCCAGACTTCAGAAAAAAAGGAATCACTTAGAATGGGACAGTCAGCTGCAATTTTAAATCAGTTAATAATGTGTCTCTGCTTATCCAGAGTCTGTCAGAGACGGATGCTGGCTTCTCCAGGCTGTTGGTCTGTTTACACCAAACTAACTTGATATTTTTATCTGTTTACAAAGTGGTGCAAAGTGTTTACATAGTAGTGACCTGGATTCTTCGGGTCTGCAAATCCTGTTTGCAGCAGAATGTTTTCTAATCTTCCCTAGTGCTCTAATGGTTTGCATTGAGTGGAGTCTCAGCTCCAGTTGAAGTGACCTATTTGGAGAATGGCTCCACTTTAATACCAATATTGTCTCCCTTCTTCTCCTGAAGAATAATTCTAAAAAAGCTCCTCACATTTACCAGACTGTTTGCCTTTTGGTTAAGAGCCAATTCAAATTAAACATTTCAGATATCTGAGCATGAGTATTTTTAATGATTAGGAGTTTGGAAGTCTACACTGTGTAACAGAAAAAAACAAATACAGTTTAGTATAACCCCTGGTTAGCCATCATCTTGTCAGAACACATCATTTTCACTAACCTATATCAACCTCATCTTTGGTCTATTTAATTGCTACTCCTGGATTTATCTCTGGAAAGCATAACTAAGTTTCTCTACATGTTAACACAGCATCAACTCATAGGAATAGGAAATTTTTACTTAAGTTTGAGTTATAAATCTTGTTGATGAAGGAGGTCAGGCTGGCCCAATCTACCTTACAAGGCTGATGTGACTTTCAAATGCAGTAAAGTATATGAGTGCATTTTGTAAGCAATATGGAAATGAATATGTATCAGGTTAGGAGCAATATACATTTATTTGATTCCAAACCTGAGCAGTATTCCTGGACTTAAATTCATTAGCAGGAAATGAAATATGAGGGAAATGTGAAATGGAAATCACAAGTCTGGTGTTTTTAATCCAAGTGTTCAGATACTATTTAATATTAGTTACTGAACTGATACTTACTTATCTTCTCTGCATCTTAAAAGTCTTCACTGGCAAGCCACTAAATTACGTGATCTCTAAATTCCTTTCAGTTCTATGATTCTTTGTAGCTTCAGTACACATTCTAAATGAAATCGTATTGCTTAGTTATAAAATGGGATCTTTGAACATTTTATTTATTTTCAGATAATTGTTTTGACAAAAGATCTTTAACAATTGCATCTCTTTTTGCCCCCTAATATGATGTTAAAATAAAATATCATTGTTTCTATAATACACTATAGAAAAGAAATATCAGATTTTCTTTAAGTAAGGGACAATTTGAACTTCAAACACACTTAGGTGAAACTATTTTGAATAAATGCAGATTTTCCTTGGGCTTCTGGAAATGAATACCCATCTCTCCAGCCGTCATTCCCAGCCTCTTCCCACCTGAACCAATGGAGCAGGGAAGAACTAGAGATGTGGAAATTGGGTGAAGTTTTGATGTTGTTTAAACTAAGCTACTGACCACTGTTTCTCAAAGCTCATTTCACCAATCATTAGTTTTATGAGATGTTACAGATAAGGCTTGAAGAAAGGTTCCATGATTAAACAAGCTTGTAGAACAGTGGACACAGTCAACATAATCCGACTGCCTCAGTATAAAACTTCATCAGAAATTTTAATAAGGGGCATTCTCCATCTAGGTATGACATACGTGTTGTACAAAAATGATTGATCACGGGGCCCTTTATGTTTGCAGACTTATGGGTCTAGATTACTGGAAACAAATGCTAAAAAGTTTTGTTCTTGTTTTTAAGAAATTCAAATTCATTGAGGAAAGTACATATTCACTAAACACCAAGATAGAAAACCTCATGGGTAGGGTCAATCACTAATACATGCTACCATGATGGTAGATAACACCATGTTGAATACTATTAAGGATTAGTTATTAGTTTCATGTTCACCTAAAAAGACATTTGTTATGTCTTAGATCTGGGCTGAGTGTGTCTTTCTAGTTTTCATGGGTTGAAATTCAATCCTCATTGTGAGGTATTGAGTGGAAACTTAATTCAACATCTATGCTTAAAGATGGGGCCTTTGGATGGTGATTAGGATTAGACTGTCATTAGTGCAGGGGTCCCATGATGAGTAATAAGAAGAGAGGCCAGAAGAGACACACAGATATGCATGCTCTGCCCTGCACCTTCCCGTGACTCTGCTAGAAAGAAGGCCATCACCAGGTGTGGTCCCTTGACTTTGGACCTCCAGAAAAGTTAGCTCAAATAACCCTCTTTTCAATGAAACTTATCCTGACAGCACTATTGTGTTATTAACAATAGAAGCAACTAATACAATACTTCACCAGTTAATTTAATTTGCTTTGTAGGGTCCTCAGTGCACTATGAAGAGCATATAGACACTTAAGAAGTACTTCAAATGCTAAGGTAAAACTTTCTAGAATATGGTTTGTAGCTGGTTATTAAAGATTTTATGGTGTTCCAGTTTGAATCTGGAAAGTCCCTCAAGAGTTCATGTGTTGAAGGCTTATTCTTCAGTTGGTGGTGCCACTGGGAGGGGAGGAACCTTGAGGAACTGGGGCCTAGAGGAAGGAAATAGGTCACAGGAGTAGGTCCTTGAGGGGTGTATCTTATCCATGACCCATTTTCTTTCTCTTTACCTGCCGGCCACCCTGAGGTGAGCAGCTCTGCTCTGCCACGTGCTTTCTATCATGTTCTGCCTTACAAAGGCCCAAAGTGACAGGCCCAAGGGACCATGGATTGAAATCTCTGAAACTGTAAGCCAAAATGATTTTTTTTCTCCTGTAAGTAGATTTTCTCAGATATTTTGTTACAGTCACAGAAAGCTGACTAACACATCTGGCTACCTTATTCCTAATTCTTTTCTTAATTTCTTCAGCACACATTCATTGAATATCAGATTCTGCGGTGCTACATCATTGACCACTTAAACACAGAACACAAGATTTGATTTAAAAAGATAAACATATATGTATTTTAAAAAAGCAGAAACGCAATGAGGAAAGAGCAGTCTCAAAGAATGCCAAGAAATATTTTCCAGAGAACACCTACCTGAATTTTGAATGCAGAATAGAAGCTTGCTAAATGGAACAAGTCAATTGATTCTAATATCAAGATTAGCAAAGCCAAAGAGATGTGAAACAATTTGCTGAAGGTGAGAAAGTATAAGCAATTCCATATTACTGGAACATAAAGTAGAAAGAGCAGAGAATAAAGACATAAAACTTAAGAGTTTGACTAGGATTACATCTTTCTGTGCTTTGCAAAACAAGTCAGAGTCTAACTCAGGCAGAGAAGAACTATGAAACAATTTTAAAGCTGACTCTTGGAGTAGTTCAGAGAGGCTAGAGGTTACATGGTGGCACTAGGGATGATGTATTTGGAAGGGACAGGACATATCTGAGATACTAATGATGTCAATTTGATAATACATGGTACTGATTGACTATATAGACTATTAGGGCATTCCAAGAGCCATGGATCCCTCCCAGGGGTATGGCTTCTGACTTGGGATTGGCAGTATGACTCTTTCTGTGACAGGATAGGAAATACAAAAGAATTATTTTGAAGTGTGAAATGTAAGTTTATTTTTAACATACAAAATTTGAGATGATTTGGAGATATGTAGAATAAAATCCAATTTCCTTTGATTTCCACAGAACTATTGTGTTTAAAGTTATATATCTGTGTGCCCTTGGATTTTGGATGGTAGATAAAATATGCTTCAAATAGAGGGTATAGTATTTAAAGAGCAGTCTGTAGGAGATAGCATATTATTATACCAGGGACAAAGAAATAATATCCTAAAAAAATAGAATGAGGAATATCTCAATCCAAGATCTAGATCTAGGAGGTAATATGTGAAAGACATAAAAATGAGAAAATATTAAGGAGACAGTTGTCACACACACACACACACACACACACACACCACAGAGAAGTGTTCTGGGATAAGACCAAGACTTATCTTAGGATTTGGCAACAATGATTCACTCGTAACCTTTGCTGGATGCTGTCAGGGGCACAAGGGGAATGGAAGCCAGATTGCCTCGAGTGGTTGAGATATAAGCAGGTGAGGACCATGGGTTTGGGATGAGAAAAAGAAAGATAAGAATAACTAGAGGGGTAAAAGGTTAAATAAAAGCATTTTTAATGTAATTATTTTAGTGTTTTTGGAGTGGAGAGGAAAGAAATAAGAAAATGAGAAAGAAAGGGAAGGAGAAAGGGAAGGAGGAAGGGTACAGGCTGCAGACAGGCTACAGTGTCTCTCGGCCTTGACACTGACATTCTAGGCCAGATAACACTTTATTATGTGAGCGCAGTGTCTTGTGCTATGTAGGATGTTTATCAAGATTCATGACCTCTATTCAGGATCCAGCTGCTTTTCACTTGTAACAATCAAAAATGTCTACAGGGATTGCCAAATATTCCCCCAGGGGAGAGGGAGGCAAAATTGTTCCTGGGTGAGAGCCAGTGGGCTAGGAGAAGAAAGCTGTGGGAGATTGTGAAGATATAAGAGAGAGAAGGGAAAAACATAACGAAGAACCCACTCAGGCAATAGAAGATGAGAAGATTCAGAACCCCGATAAGGCTCTTTCCACTCTGCACAAGAGACATAATCTTCCTCAAACACTGAAATAGGGAGGAAGAAAAGTATAGGGAAGGCTAAGAAATTTGCATTTAGGGCTGGAAACGTGATCAGAAATACAAGGATGACTTCTCTTCCTTTGTGGGTTATGCAGATGAGGTCATCTGGTAAAAATGAACAAGCAGCAAGATGAGGAGGACTGAGGACATGGAAATCACAGAGGCTGAGAGGGCTGGACTGGATGTGAGCAGGAAGGGCCATTCTCCAGAAAAGTCTTGAAGAATCTTATTGAAGGCCCAATGTGAAAAGCCTGAATTTGAAATAGTCCCAATTCCAATAAAGGTATATTATTCCTCCTAGCCGTGACCAATCGCTTGTGTTGTTGCTACAGTGTTGGGCGTCTATAGAGAGCATACCATCCTACACGTCATGAGATTCCCCACAAACAGTAAGGAAGGTGGCAAAATAAAATGCTGTCAAGACAAGGTCACCACAGATAACGTCAGAGATTAGTGGATCTTAGGTGACATTGAGTTCAGTGGGGTTTTGACCTAGAGCTTACCAATAAAATCTTTCAAAAAAAAAAAAAATACATGACAGTACTTTAATTTTACTTCCCAGAGGTGAGGTCTGAACACTTAAGTGAGATTCACCATATTTCACATTTTTAAAAGCTATTTGTATTGTTTTCTCTATATACTGTATCGTTGTATTTTAGCACTAAAAAATAAGATGCTTATCATTTACTATTTGTCAGATCTCTTTACATATAAAGTAAATCAACCCTATCTGACAAAGTATTGAGAGGTTTTCCCCCCCCAGTTTTCTCTTTATTTTGTCCTCCAACTTTGTGATTTTATTCAGGAATTTTTAAATTGTTATGTATTACATATATCAATGTGTCTTCTTATGAAATCACAGAGGTTTTGTGATTTCCTGTGAAAAGATTTTCTCATACAGACATGAAAAAAATAATTTTCTTATGTTTTCTCCTAGAATTTTATGGCTTTCATTTTTTTATGTATTTACATTTGAGGTCCATGTGGAAATTTATTTTGGCATAGGAAGTAAGCATCCCTATGCAATTAAATTTTTTTTCCCAGAGGGCACAAGTTGCACAAACATAATTTATCAAATACCATATTTTCTCCACTTTTAGGCAATGCTACTTTTTCCATAAAATAAATGTATACAATTATTTGGGTCAGTTTATATAGTCTCTACTTATCCCATTGATATGCTTGCTTATGTATGGATATATGCATTCTGGAAAACTCCATGAATAGTACACATGATGACAAAGAGCCATTGGTTAGACTAAACTCTTCCTTTCATGACAAGGTCTGAAGAATGTAAGTGATTTAGCAGAGATCATTCAGATAGACATAGAGCTCATAAGCCCAAACCCATGTTTCTCTGTTTAGTATGGTTACACTAATGCTTCATTAGCTTTCTATGGAGCAATAAGTTCTTTTGGATAAATAGCTATTGACTACACTGGAGATGAACCAATCATTTCAAGAAAATGTTCCTTTGGCTATTGTGGTTACTAGGTGAGGGGATACCGTACATGGTTCAATGGGAAGAAAAAAATGTTTACAGATAATGACTGCCCAGTAGTCATCAAAGTGCTTTATTTTTATTTTGTGTTGAAACTTCAGGTAGATAACTCTGACCACTTTGAATTATTGGGAAGATAACAGTGGAGATTGTGTGAAACTTGGATTTGAGTTTGAGGATAATGTGTTGGGACACAGGAAAAAGTACAGATAATGTACCCAAATGATAGCCAGATATTTAACATAATCTATGAACTAATTTTCAGTTATATGTGTGAAGGTTACTTATTTGTTTTACAAAATTTATCTGTTGGTTTCATTTCATAGAAATCATTTTCTTTTGTCCTAGTGTGAAGACTAAGAAAAAAGGGAAATTCTGTGGATTATTGGTGCTTGTATAGTTTTAATTTCAAAGCTATATTATCAAATAACTTTGCATTTTCTCAAACTTGGGAAATATTAATATTAATTAATAGATACTGGAGAATAATTCTGTGGAGATATTTTTAAAGTTTAGGAAAACAAATGAGCCACATAGTTTTTAGAGCCATACCAAAAAAAAAAAAAAACCAGAATAAATTAATCATTTAAAAGCTTGTATGTGATTTGCAAGGTGTAACAGTGGTCCTCAGAAGTATGAAATGCCATTATAAGCCAATTGTATCAAAGTACAAGTTAAGTAAGGAGTGATTCAATGCCACCAAACCCTGAACAAGGACATTGACCCTTCTAGCCAGCATGTACATATACATGGGATAAAGAGATCACCTGCATAGTTTGCCCTTACCAGATAGGAAATATCATTAGTAGTAATTAAGTATAAATTTAATAATCCTCATATAGTAGAATTTTCAGGATGATTTTATTCAATTTAGGCCTTCTTTGCTCTCTTTATTTAATGCAAAGCCATAGGTAAATTTTTTTTAAAAAATAGTTTTTGAGTACAGACTCTACCAAGAGATGCTTGGTAAACATTGAAAGGTTTGAAATCTTAGCCAGCTTAATAGTTTGATGTCCTCTGATCTGCAAATTGTTTTTGTGCTTCCAAATAAGTGTCAAGAAAATAACTGCATGAATAGAATGAACCATGTTACACCACAAGACCTCTTATTTTAGCTCTCTGCAGTAATCTTAGGGTTCAATTAAATCCTAAGGTAATAGAATTCAAGTTTCCTTGTGGATTACAAGTTATCACATAAGCACTACATTTTAAGTTTAGAGATGCCCTCTTTTTGGAAAGAGGAAACTTTGGGAAGCCTAGTGATTAGGAACCTGAAAGCTGGAGCTTTAATTTTGTGCAAAATTAAAGAAAATTAGAATCAATGCATTGTTGAAGCTTGGAGAAGCTGAGTTATAGGGGAATAAAGATATAAGTTATGATGAATAGTACATAATATGATGAAACACTTAAAAGACTGAATTTCCCCTGTTGATTAAAAGATCATTTATCTGAAATAATTCTTGCCCAGTTTAAATCCATTTTGGTGACACTAGTATTGTGAGGATGCCTTCAGTAGCTGAGTTTCAGAGTAACATGTGCATACATAGATAGAATGGTAAATACAATATATCTCTGAAAGGGAAAGGGGATAACTACTGAGAGTCTCAAATTATCATATGGCATAGTTAAGGTCGTCTAGAATGCACCAGAAGTTTTCATGCACTCACCTAGGGCTTATGTGACTCTGGGCAAAACTTTGGCTCTATGCTATATGTAGTTAGGTCAACAGCAGAAGTGCAGAAGTTTTTGTTTGTTTGTTTGTTTGATAAAGAGTTCACTCTCCTAATTTCCTTCCCTTATGACATTCTTTATTTTCACTTCAACCCCCCTTCATCAAAGATCCTAACCCTTCCCATACTCTCTGCCCTTCTGTTTAAAAACCTTTTCTCTGGAGGGATCCAAGACCAGCCATTTATAAATGAACATGAAATTCATAAATTATTTTTTTCCAGATTAGTTTCACTTAAAGTCTTTTTGTGATTACAGATTGAAGGTGTATATAATTACCTCTTAGAAGTCTTCAGTGATAATATGACATAAATATCTTTATGATTGATTTAGGTGAGGTTTCAGATTTTTTTAAGTTTCTTAAAAACCTATGAGTATATGTCAGTGACTTTGAATATTCAGACATGAATATTAAATAAAATTCTCTTTTTATCTGCTTTAATGCATTATAAGACCCACATGTACATAAAATTATTTGATATTTAAAATAAACATTTATCAAAAAAATTCATGTGGAAGCAAGTAGGAGATATTATTGACTTTTTTTTAATTAGATAAGGATCCTTAATCTCATATGAAGACAGAGCTAGATCTTGAATCCAAAGTTGCTAATGGATTTCTTTCTTTAAGAGTTGTTGGACAAAAAAATTCCAGAGAAAGCACTATTCTTTTTCACTTCTATTTAACATGAAATATTGTTAAAAAATCCAACTGTGTTGAAATCTTGAGAATGTTTCCTTCACTTTTTCTGTACCCACAGTAGTTCAGGGATAGCCACAGGATGAGGAATGTTGCAATGCTACGTTAGAAACACAGACTTATGTTGAAATCTTAGTTGATAACTTTTAAATAGATAGTGAGATGTGGTGAAATCATGAATTCTGAGGGAGATCAAGGCCAAGGTTGTAGAATAGTCTCAGATGGATTATACCACTAGATAGAGGATAGCAAATGGCAAAGACAAGTCATTTTAGGAAGAGAGAACAGTATTAGCCAAGCCAAAGGAGATGAGGAAGACCACAGAATGATCAGAGAAGAGTGAGGCTGGAGACCAGCAGGGCGAGGGGTTGGGTGGGACAGTTGAGAAGACACATTGTAAGATACGATGAAGAGTTAAATGTCACACCTGAAGTTTGGGGCCATATGCTATAAGAATGAATACATTATGGGGAGAATTAGGATTTTGGTGGTATTTCAGGTAGATATAATTAAGAGACAAAAGAGTGTTCAAATAGAAGATCTGGGTTTGAATGAAAGCAGTAGATATCAGGACAGAAAAAGAGGGAGCACATTTGAGAAAAAAAAATGGCATACTCTACTATGTTCAGAAACAAACTCACTGCAGAAATAACAGTAGAAGGAGAAACAAGAAGGAAAAAAAGATAAACTCAATTTCTAGATGAGAAATCTGCAGGGATGCAGAAATGTCATCAATTGGTTTTAGGCCATGAGAGGCAAAGCAGCCCTGGAAACTTGGCTGGTCAAAAAGAGTGAAGCATTTGGTTTTAGACTTATTGTCTGGACAGTTTCAATGATGTATACAAGTATTTAAAATGAAAAATACAAGTCTAGATTTAAGGATCGAAGCAGAACTTGCATATGAAGATTTCAAAGATGATTAGGATCCATAGGGATCTCTCCTTGATGAATTGGAGGAATGGGAAGGAAACACTTGGCTAAGAGTCCTGAGCAGAAAGAAAGGTGATCAGAAGGAGGAGAGAGCTAAGCAGGAATTCCTGGGACACCCTATGATGAAGCAGTTGAGAAGAGGTGATACCAAGGGCAGGGTGGAGGTAAAAGAGAACCAAGGAAAAGCAACATCAGAAACCAAAGGAGGGTCTCATGAAGGAGGAAGGAGAGAATAGTCAGTCATCAAATGTGGTTATCACAGCAACTGTAAGTGGGGAATAGTGGGAAGAGAGCACTGATTGGGCATGAGGATGACATTGATATGCTCTCAGATGTATGCGATCCTCATTGGTAAGAGAGGTAAGATCCACTGGGTGATGGGGAAAAGAAATTTCTATTCAGAAATTGGTGAGAGAACACATTTGGTGTACACCCCAAAAAA